GCTACAAGTCCTGATAAAGCACTTGAGTTTACTAAGAAATCATTAGAAATTCGACTAGAAATTTTACCAGAAGATCATGTCACAATTGGCTTTTGTCATCAAAATATTGGTGCTGCTTATGAAAACAAATCTATGTCTGATGAAGCAATAAAGCATTGCAAAGAGGCAATCAAAATATATGAAAAGCATTTGTCGGATGAAGAAGAATATCAGTTCAATATAATGGAGCTTTATGCAAGATGCCATAACGGTATTGGTAGACTTTCTTTTGATCCAAATGATTATGATATAGCGATAGAACATTATAAAAAATGTTTGGATTTCTACGAAAACTTAATGAAAACAAATGTTACATGCGATTATACGAACAATATTTCATCATGCCTTATCAATCTAAGCGATACATATATTAATAAAAAAGAATATAAACTTGCTCTTGATTGTTTGAAAAAAGCGAAGAATATGTTACCTGATAATGACATACGTTGGGGTTTTTATTATCTCAATATGGGAGTTTGTTATGCAAATCAAAAGAAATATGAAGAAGGTATAGAAAACTATCAAAAAGCTATAAAAATCTTAGAAAAACACTTACCAACTGCTCCAGACGATTATGCACTATGCTATGCGAATATGGGTGAATGTTATGGTAATATGAGAAAAAGTGAATATGCCAACGGAATCAATTGTATATTGAAAGCAATAGATATTTATCAACACTATTATCCAGAAAACAAAATCAAACTTGCAAATTGTTACCAAATTTATGGTCACATCTTATATAATCACGGGCACTTAGAGGAAGCTATCAATATACTACAGAAAGGGATTGATCTTTCATTAAACAGAGATGAGATAAATGTAGCACGCTGTAATTGCATTATAGGATGTTGTTATTATGAAAAAGCTCAATACGAACAATCATTGTCATTACTGGAGCTATCTTTGAGTACCTTTGAGAAATATGTTTTAACTTTAATGGATGACGGTGCGGCAGATGCATTTAATTATGTAGCATTATGTTTAATAAAATTATATAGGTACAATGAAGCTATTGAATATGCAATTAAATCACTTGAAATTAGAGATAAAATCTTGCCTTTGATATGTATAGAAACAGCAGAATCACACAGTACATTAGCATTAGTCTATTCAAAACAGCAATTAGAGCAATCCGAAAAATGTAATGAACATTGTGTGAAGGTTTTAGAAATATCTAAACAGTTAATTACCAATGACGACAACGCTCCAAATATGTGGGCCGTTTTCGAAAACATTGGTGAAGTTTATTTGAATCAGAATAATCTACGATCAGCCCGAAAATATTACAGACAAGCGTTCAAATACATCAAAAGAGACAAACCAAATAGCCATCCTGGCATTCAACGTATACGAAAAATTATCAATGCGTTATCAAAAAGTTTAATTAACGAATCGATTAGTCTGTGAACAATGTCGTTAGCATCATAAAATTGTTTTAGTTACTAATCTATTTATACATACTAACTTTTCGCTCTTCTACACATTACTAATATGTGTTGCATTTAGAATTTTTCAAATAAAAAAAAAAATTATTAGTAGAAAGAGCAGCTAAAATATGACCTACAGACATGAAAATTGTTGTAAAATAGGATAACTTGTTAGCATAGTCCGATAATAAATCAGATCGAACCATTTACTAGATGAATGCAATAAGAAACGTTCATTAATATTAATTGATGAAAAAAAAAACAGATAAAACTTTTACTTGATGAAATTGCCCAAGCCACTTCATTTTGAGTTCGTTAGTGTATTAATGCATAATAATAGAAATAAAGTACATTGTTGATAAAAGTATATACTATAGATATAATGTGGCATGTCCATGAGATGTACTAAGGTTTGGGTCTGAGTGTAGTTTTATGCCCCCTGTTCTCATACTTACAGCTATGATTTTTTATTGCAAAAGCGTTACTCTAACTTTGACCTTCATTTAGAATAATACACGATGATAGAAATTTAAAAAAATTTAGTTAGTCAAAAAATATTTTATTCGTTACATGGACAAACAGTGTTTCTATGAAATCGGTTAAACTCTAGGAAAAATATCATATTTTGTAAACGGAAAGTCATTTGTTACAGCTGATTTTATTTCTAAATAGCTACAAGAATCTGATTTTCGTTCGGGAAACACATAAATCTTGGCCAATGGCTTTACGAGGGTTTATTCTTCGAAAAACTCATCTCCTCAATTTTATCTATGAAGATGTCGACGAAAAACTTCACGACATGTTGATTACAAATTCTACAAGTTAGAGAACATTAAGTTTTTTTTTTTTATTAGAGCTAACTTTGATAACTATTATATACCGATGATTAAAAATCCTATTTATTACATGATTGATTATTTTTAGTTGTTGTGTTTGTGCTTTTCTCTTTCAAAAAGAACCTTCTTCTAGATTGATATCTATTTTCATCATTTTTTTTGAAAATCAAAAAAAGATTCATCAGATTATGAAGGAAAGTTTATTCGGGTTGATCGAATGCATGACTACCGTTGCTTAGGTATTAGACAAATTTACTTTTCACATTCTTACTTCAACAATTAGTTATTCACGAAGAAAACAAAGTCAAAGTATTGTATAGCTATAGCAATGGTTCGATATTATTTGATCAGAAGTGTCATGTTAGAAAGAGGAGCAAATAAATATGATTTGATTGATCATTAATGGAAGATAATGCTAGCATACTCTATGGAAGTCATTTTGAAAAATTGATTGATAATTACAATTGAATGCTTGCAAATAGCGAATGAAAGAAAATTCGAAACTAATCAAATCTCGAAGAAATTAAGCTCTAGTAAAATATTCGAATAAATTGAATAATAATTTGTTGGTCAACGATTCCGATCACATTGTTTTCAAATTGCTCAATGAAAATATCAGTGATCAATACGACATGTAAAATGCAATAGGATAATGCATTATGTATATCGTATGAAGAAAACTGATTGTGAAATTACTTATTTTTCTCTTTCGATATTCTTTCATTCACTCTACGAACAAGAATCTCGAACATATCACTAAAGTATTTTGTTCAGCGACATCATATTCATCTTGACTTTAATTTGTATCACTTACTGATGAAGTCATTCCCACAAGTCTAAAACAGGGAAAAACAACATTTTCACTCATAAAATTATAATCTAGCATGATTGCCTGTTTTTTCTCAAAACTCTTTATCTATTGAGTCTTTCTTCATTAACTCGAAGCGTAGTGGCACTCATTTTTTCTCATGTTTCATCGATAACATTGTTTTTCAATCGCTAAGATATTTTTTCTAGTTGTAGCAACAAATTATGTTTTTATAATCTTTGCCTTAAGAAAAACAAGCAAAACCATCCTGTCCTTTTTCTCCAACGATTAATTGCTCGCATAAATTCTCTTTCGATTACTTAAAGCACTTCATTTTGAATTTTCTGCGTAACTATCGATCATCAAACTTTCGTTCTTTTCTCTATTGTATAGCTAAATATAAGGTTTCTAATTGTTCATCTTGTTTTTTCACTGGAGACAGATTTTTAATTATCTTTGGAACAGAGCTTCTTATTGGTTCATCTTTCTTTTGAAACTTGTAAGAAAGAATTACAATAGTGATGGGAAGAAAAAAAATGTATCACTATCATATATAAAATGATTGCTATAACGAAGTATCAAAATTTAGTTTGGAATAAAGTCACGAATGACTAAAAAAGACTTAAACGTTGAATACTTGTTTTTAATTCATGCTGTGAGATCAATTTATTAATTCAAACAGAATATGTTCTGTTCTATTTTCTATAAAATGATGCACATGATCGATTGAGTAAAATCTCTTTCATTTTCTTCGATTCAAACCAATAATATCATAATATCAAGTAGAAAATGTTTAAAAAAATTCTTTCGTAATTATTTCTCAATTTTTGAATGAACATGTTATTGAAAAAGTGTTATTCCAATTTACACCTTAAAGAAACTTTGAAATGGAACATTTCTCTACTAATCAAGCGATTCAATATATGGAAGGAAAAAATGTTCTTCACCTTCATGTTAATCAGACAATATGAAGATGATATGGGTTGTTTTTACGTTTTACACTTAACTTCATGGTTAGATAGATATTTGGCAGATACTTAATTATTGTTGTTCAAAAAACAAAAGCGTATTCTTATAATAAGTATCAAATATTGTTATTTAATTAAAAGGAACTTATTCAACAAACGATGTTTTTAGTTCGATTTGTTCTTTATCGAAAGATTTCAAAATTAAATTAGTATTGATAAATTTTGCTGGCGCATTAACACATTGACTGTCCAGTGCATCATATATGATTCACGGTACAGTACTGGCCATAAGTATTCCCTCCCCCCCCCCTCGAATCTCTATCACAATATGAGCTGTAGAGGGTGTGGGTGTGAATGTCACAGTTACTCTTCTCTCTAATCATACCCATACCCACACCCTCTGGTACTCTCTCAAATACGGAATTTATGTTGATGTATTGGTTTGAGTAGAAGATACACCATGTTTGTTCAGTATATATCCTATCAATGGAATGAGTATGTAAGCTAGAGATGGATATGTCTCCAATGAAAGACAAATCTAACTATTGCTTCTTTTCTGTTTCAGCAGTCGTTCGAGATGGACGAGTATGAAAGTTTATATAAGCACATCCACACGTACAATTATACAGTTTACTTAGATAGTTTCATGCCGATATACGCAACAACAAGAATGATAGATCAGTTAGATATTCACAATTAGAATGATGAGGTGATCATATAAAAGATATGGAAAAGTCGTATGATGAGATTTAAGAGTACTCGAAAATAGAGATTTTATTATTAGAGATTTATAAATCAATCATGACGTATATAATATATAATAATTAGTTGGGATAGATGATTTTATCATCCAGATTCAAGGATAAAAGGGATATGAAATGTTTAGATGTCTTTAAATTGATCCATTATCAACCAAACTTCATTTAAAATAATTAGATATATCATTGATCGCTACTTGCTTCACGTAATCCCATTTGATAACTGAATAGATTTTACGAACAAACCAGAAACAAGCAAGAAAACCGATTGCACCTAAATAAAACTTAATTAAATAGATTATACAAGAATATTTAACTTACCGGTAAATAAAAATAAAATAAATGTAAGCATTAATGTATAACCAAAATAAAGAAATGTTGATACTCCATCAGATATTTTTAATTTAGTCGCAAAATAATAACCTGAATAGAGAAAGAAATAGACAGCCGTAGAACCCGATGTTAAAAATGAACGCCACCACCAATTATAATCCTAAAAAAATCAAAAATTTAAGTTTTTTTTAATTTTTTTTTAAACAAATAAAATCAAATTTTACCTCAGTACATAAATGAAAATAGCAAAGAAGAATTGTTGTTTCCGAACATGTAATTATAAGAATTATATATACGATAAGTAAAAATCCAAAATAATGATAATATTGATGAGCCCTAAATTCATTTATATATATATATATCTAATAAATATCAAAAAATAAAAACAAAAATATTTACCAAATACTGTTTAAGATGAAAAACAGTTGAATAAAAATACAACCAAATGGAAGAATACCACTCACTAAGATACTTAATAATGGTTTAGTGTATAGCGGCTGTTTAGGTATTTCTCGTGGAATTTGATTAATTGGAATAGGATTTTTATAAACCTTAATTTTAAGAGAAATTGGATAAAAAAAAAATTTTTTTTATTCTTACTGGACGTTTGAAACCAAGGTAAGCTCCAATGAACACCAATGGTGTTGATATGCAGAACCAAAGAGCAAGTAATGCTACAAATGTAGTACATGGAATAGCTGTTGAACTAACATTTTCCCAAAGAACAAGATTCAAAACAAACAAAATGACAAAAATTAAGCTGAAATAAACAAAGCAATAATTTATTTTTAGAAAAATCAAACAATTTAAATGTTACCTTGGACATGTAATAGCTGTTGTTAGAGCAATTTTCTGCCAATTTGTACCGCCAAACACTATGAAAGATCAATTAGTCATTTATGATAAATATTGTCTCCTACTTTTATATAAACGAGCTGAAGTATAACCAGCTGGAATGCCCAAAAGAACATAACATAGGATAAGACCTTAATGACTCAAATGAAATAGACAAGAAGAAAAAGAATGGAATAAAATACTTACAAGTCAATAAAGCACCAGGTTTTTCTGGTGAAAGAAAATCAAGTGCAGCGAAGACTAAATAAACAAATTTCGAAAAAAATTGAAAATGAACAAAACTAACTACCTAATGTGATTAAAAATGTCATTGCAATTTGAACACCATTACCAACAAGAGTAGAGAAAAGTATATCTTTTTGTGGTGGACGAAATACATCACCATCAATTCTATCATTTGAAAAGAAAACAGAATAAAAACAAAAATAACATAAGATTTGATAAAGGATAGATCAACATTTAATCTTCTTTGAATAAACTATAACTGTGACTAACTTGAACATTTTATAAATAAGAGATTCTTGAAAATTCAAAAAGAGTTTGAAACGAAATTTTATTCATTAACTGATGTCATTTTCT